TCATTAGCCAAATGTGATTTCATATTGACTGGTATTCCTTTTTGCTAATGTGTAGACCAATTTTTACATCGAATAAAATATATAGTAATTTACTACTTCTCAAGATCGACCACTAGAATTAGATTTTTTATTAATTGATAAATAAAGAATTATTAAGTTGTATATTTGTTTTGAAATTAGCCCTATTTTTATAATAGTTTGACTTACGTCATTTGATAGTTTGAATTATAACTAGTTATAACATTTTTATTTCAACAATTTTAATTACAATATACAATATACAGTCTACCCTCTTTAATATCAACCCCATTAATATCAACCCAAACCATAAGATGATTTTTACAAATTTTTATGTATTAAAACTCCCTCATATATATCAACTTTTAATATAATCTCTTGTTAATATCATTATCAACATGAATTTAACCAATTCAAATGGGTTGATATAAACGAGGGTAAACTGTATATGTTAAAATCACTAGTTCAAACAGACCATCAGGAAACCCTTTCCAGAAGTGTTTCTCCGGGTGTTTCAACCCTAACTACATGTAAAAAGTACATTCGCATTTCAGAAGAGGAAAAGCTGATAACGAAGGATCCTCTTCTTCAATCTCGTAGAAATTACATGCCTTCTTAAAGGTCCATTGGGACCTCTTCTTCATCGACTTTGTAGAAGCTACATGCCTTCTTAAAGGTCCATTGGGAAAATGATAACTGGACTTTATTACAATAAAAATAAAGCCTGCTTTGATCATAGAACGAAATCCGCGTTAGCATCATGTTTTTTAAAAATAAACGCGAATTTCACCTTCATGTGATCTGTATGCCAAAAAACTAACACGTGATTAAAAATGTAATTATCATAGATCTGCATTATCGTGTTTTTAATGATACGTAACTAAAAATTTTATTATGGTAACTGGCTCTTAATGGTTTATTAAATGCAGTTTGCTAAAGAGAACATTAAAGGATATAATACGTAAAAGTGCTTAAGGGCATCCCGTTAAGAAAAAGAAAACATTTCGAAATGGAGTAGTTAGCGGATCTAACCAAAATTCAGTGCCTGTCGTATTTAGACAGAGAATGTGATATAAATGATTAGCAATACGAGTCCTTGTCATGTCGTTATATAAAATGATAAATAACACATTTATTTCATCGTGTCTGGAAATGTCCCTAGCGGAGTATGCAAGGGGCGCTTTTCGCTCCTTAGATACGGGAAGATATTTCATTATTCCCTTCGTCCCGGGGAATAACATATCTTTTAATTTATACATTCACGGCCTAATTAAGAATTGTAAATTGTATCCTGCATATAGTGATAGATAGTTTGTATGTACTGTATATCATTATCATTATCGTTATCATTATATGCAGTATTTGATAAATCAATGATCGTATATGCAATATAGTTTCATTGATATGTTACTAAATATAAATCGAGTTATATAAACTCAACAATCATGATGATTGTTACTTTTATGCTACTACGTTCTATGATTGTTGTTTTTATGTCTAATGAATTATGCTATCAGCTATGTTAGAACTATAGATGTTGGTGAAATTAATTTCACCAATTTCACCAATTCACCACCAATTTCACCACCAATTTCACCAATAGTGGTGAAATTATTTCACCAGCATCTATAGTTAGAACCCCGGATAATAGAGATACGAGTTAAATTTTCAGTCATTTTGTCTGCTTTAAGGTTCCAGTTTAAGGCTTGTACTTCTAATTTATGCATATGCCAGTTTAATTATATAACTTATACGTACAATTAATTCTAAACCTTTTTCGGAAATGTGTCATATCTTCGGATATAGTATATGACCTCTTTTATAACATTACTATCGATTTTTAATGAATTTATGTCTCCTTTAAAAATCATACCTTTATTTAATTTATGATTTTTTGTCCAGTTTAATAACCCATCTATCCTGTTTGTTGCTTTTATGTCTAATTAATTAAGCCATGTTCTATGATTGTTATTTATAAGTCTAATAATTACTCTGTTATATGACGTTGTTTTCATTTTTACGTTTAATGAATTAAGTTACATTCTTCATATCTTGCGATTATAAAACTATTATATAGTTTTGTAAACTCATAAAAAGGCTTTTTTTTAAAAAATTATATGATAAATTCTCAAATTATTTTCCCTATCTCTTTTTCTTAAGCAAATGATAAAATTTTTTTTCTTCAAATAAATGACAAATTGTAAGTGCAAATTGGCGATATTTATTTGAAGAACCGTATACATACCGATACTCGTATATAGATATAAATTTGAGCAGAGGTCTTTTTCGAATTTTAACAGCTGCCTTACCTTGTTTGGTGCGTCGAAAGTGCGTCGGGGTACGTCAAGTATAACCTGGGTTTGCATAAAGAGATCATCTTCCTGCGTATCGAATACGTACAAAGTAAATTTCTAATTATATTATATAATTGGAAACTTTACTTTGTATTTGCAATGCCGGAAGATGCTCTCCTTATGCAAACTTGGGTTATACTTGACGTACCCCCATGCACTTTCGACGCACCAAACAAGGTAGGGCAGCTGTTAAAATTCGAAAAACTTCTGCTATAAATTTGTATGTATAATGTGATAATTACGAATTTAAGATGATAAAAAGAAAATTTAACAATTGTATACATATCGATATGCATTTATTATCCTTAAAAATGCCTCACGTAAAAACAATAAAAATTAATCCCATTTTATGTGTAAGCGAAAATGTGTTAAAAGTAAGTAAACTTGCATTGGTTCTAATATTATAGACATATTCTTATTATTAAATTATTTAAAATTATTAATAATAGAGTCGTGTAAATGTGGTAGTATTAAACATACTCGCGTATCTGCAAATAGCGATGGAATTTTCTGATTTAATTGTTAACAAATTAATAACTGATAATTCATTTCTATCGATTAAATAATTGAATTGTCCAAAATGTATAGAAGATATTGATAGAAAGTTATAATCAGTGATCAATCATAATTTTCAAATTAAATATGCAGTTTAATAGAAATTTTTATGTATTCAAAATCTGCCGAAGAATAACTTTTAAATAATCAAATACTAATAATGTATTAGAGTGATGATGCATTCATGAAAAATATGCAATATTAAGATTTATTATAAAAATCATTGGTTGTATCATCTTCGATAAAAATTTTCTATATAATTTTATATTGGATAATTCAATTATTAATTTCAAGAAATTATTTAATTTTTAATTCATAATTATTGCTAGAAATTCCCATCGCTATCTGCAAAGGAATGTCCTATAAATCCTTTGTAGTGAAGGGAGAAGGAACCAGAGAAACAATTAGTACAACAAAGATTGGTTTTAATAGTTTTCTCGCTAAACCTGCACTAGTACCTATTATTGATAATACTGTCAAACGTATAACTTACATTTTATTCGAAGCAAGTAGACTGGTCAACTTTTATATAATTTATCTTAGAAAATAACATTCAAATCCCGGTACTCGACTATAATAATTTTATGCGTCTACCTTTTCAAGCTGTTCTTCAGAAATCCTTTTATTCCAAAGATACATCAAATACCTTTTAAATCAAATTAAAGATCTTAATTATGCTTCATGTAGTAATCGAAATGCTATTTTTAAGTTTTTTGAAACCATCCGCTGACGTCACCTGCAATGAAAATCAGTATAAGATCTGTACGATCCAACAACCATAGCGGCTTTTGGTGATAGAAGATTCTCAAGCAGCTCTTGGGACAATGCACCCGGACCAGTTAAAGGTCTATACCGAAAATTAAAGAAAAGATTAGGTAAAAACGTTCAGCTCATCGATGAATACCGGACAAGCATTAT